AAAAGAGAAAAATCACCACTTACAGGACCTGGCAACTCGAGAGCAATGCCACACACATTTACCTTGTGGATCACGCATGTCTATGCTGTGACAACACTGCAGTTCAGGCCAAGAGTTAGCACGCATGCAAAGGAGGTTAGAAGATGCCCACCAATCTTTAGAGAGAGCTGGAACGCATCTCTCAAGTCACTGAGGCCACAAACCAAAATGGGCCTGACTGTCTGGACCTCTAAAACATGAAAACGTAAGTAAATAAAGAGAATGTTCCCAAGGCTTCCAGGGTCTCAGTGCGTCCTAGGGGTATTATGGTCCAGCCTAGGGTACCTGAATGTCAGTGTGTGTCACTGAGTTCAGGGCTCATGAGGGTTAATGTTGGCTGCTATGTGTCAGCTAAGGTATGAGCCCAGTGTGTGTTAACCCATTTAATTCACAGAACAAGCAACTGAGGTAGATGCTACTATCTTTGTGTCACAAATGAGGAAACTCAAGCCCTAAGAGGTGGAAAACTTACTCAAAGATATACAAAGAGAGTAGCAGAGTCAGGACACAAACCCAAGTGGGTCGCTCAGAGGCTGCTCTCCTGGTTAATGGCTCCTGTAAATGGTTTCTAGAAATTTCTGCTATCACTTCCCTCAGAGCATATGGAAAAAAGGTTTGCAGGCAGGCATCAGACCAGCTCCCACTCTTCACCAGCACCTCCATGTTCACTTCCAGGGCTCTCACCATGGGGGGAGGGCTGCATTCCAGAACCCCTTTTTGCTCTAGCCCCCAGGTTACTCTTCTACTACAGATGTGGCCCCTCACAATTCTTGATAGGGGACATATAAGTTTTTGGGCCACTGCTCCCATATCAGGGAGAAGCAGTTTTCTCTATTCATCACTCTCTCTTCGGAAGGACAAAAAGTATATGACTTGAAAATCCAGAAATGAATAAAGACTGGCTGATAAAAAGAGGAAAGGAAGCAAAATGAGAAGGAGAACATGAATTGAGTATATTCTTCCAGCGACTTGGGAAGCTGAGGAAGGAGGATTTCAAGTTCAAAGCCAGCCTCAGCAACTGAGCAAGAATTTGTCTCTAAATAAAAGGGCTGGGGATGTGGTTCAGTGGTTAAGCACCCCTGGACTCAATCCCCGGTATAAAAAAAAAAGAGAGAGAGAGAGAGAGAGAGTATATTTTTAAAGTACCTATTAGTCATCAGGGAAATTCAAATTAAAACCACAATGAAGGTAAAATTTCACATCCACTTAAATGGACAAAATGAAAAAGATGGGTAATAACAAATCCTATGAGGATGTGGAGAAACTGGAACCCTCATGCACTGCTAGTAGGAATGGAAAAAAGGCTCGGTCTCTTCAGAAAAGAGTCTGGTGTTTCCTTAAAAGGCTAAACCATAAACTACCATATGACCCAAAAAGTTTACTCAGAATATACCCCAGAGAAGAGGCACACGAAAATTTATGCATAAATATTCACAGTAGCATTAGTTAAACAAACCAACAACAACAACAAAAGAAACCACCTAAATATCCATCAATTGATGAACAGGTAAGTGCGGAGCATCCATAGTATAGAGTACTATTTGTCAGCACAAAGGAATGAAGTCATGACAGGACACATGCTACAGCCTTGTTGGACACTGGAAACACTGCTGTAAGAAAGAAGTCAGGCACAGCAGTCCACAGACCTGATTCCATTCACATAAAATGAGCAGATGAGGTAAATAGAAAGATGGAAAGCAGATTAGTGTTTGCCTAGCGCTGGAGTTGGGGAAGAATGGGAGTAACAGCCCACAGCTATTAAGGGTTTCTTTACGGAATTAACATGATATTGTGTAACTCCATCACTATACTAAAATACATTGAGTTGTATGTTTTAAGTAAGTGACCTGTTTAGTATGTAAATCACATCTCAATAAAGCTGTTATACTGGGCAAAGTAACTTCTTATAAAGTAAAACTTAGACTAGTCTATCCTAGGAGACTCTGCATTTTTGTGAATGAGAAAGCACAATTGCAGAAGTGGCAGAAACTCAAAATCATTTATTTGGGAAAAGAAAAAAAATCAAAAAGGAAGGGCTTATAAAAGAAAAAAGAAAAAAAAAGTCTTTTTAATTGAATTTCAAGATACTGGTTGTGTTACTGTCCTATCACACCGAATGCCTAGATATTCAAAGATGGTCTGCATAACTCCAAATCCTTTTTTCACCAAAAGCCACTAAGTTAAAAAAAATAAAGGACCTATTTCTTTTTTAGAACTAACTTACTTCTTCCTTCCTTTCACTTTTTTTTTTTTTTTTGGTGGTGCCAGGAATTGAACCCAGGGCCTTGTGCATGCTAGTCAAGCACTCTACCAACTAAGCTAGATCCCCAGCCCATGTATGTATGTATGTATGTATGTATGTATATACATATTTACATATAAATAAAACTGTATGACCAATGTGTTTCTGCAACCTGTACAATCAGAAAAAATGAGAAATTATACCCCATTTGATTCAAATGTATGAATTGTCAAGATCATTGTACTGTCATGTGTAACTAATAAAAAAATAAAATTAAATAAAGGACCTAAAGAAGAGGAGATATAACATCAGATTTTGAATTTTTTTAAACTTTTTGAGGACTGAATTAAAAAGTCTACCCCTATAAGGATCTCTGATACATAGCATTCCAAAATCACAAAATAAGAATATTTGATTGGCATCTAAAATGTATAATTTCCTAACATGAATTTAGAACTCTGACTCCAATGTTACTAGAAAAAGTAACGACTTTTAAGTTCTGGAACCAAGTATAAGGCATTGACCGCCAGACCAGTGCTGGCTGTTTTGAGATTCAGACAGAGGAATATGAGTGTGAACAACGGGTTTACCATGCTACCCTGTCACATATTTCCTTATACTAAGACTTTAACAGAAATCAGTGCAACCTCTGGCTAATGTGGCAAAATGTCAAAAGATAAGATGGAGCTTTGTGGCTATTCTCAAAGCATTAACACATTTTTGGAAACAGGAAACTATTAGATAGTAAAGAATCTCCTTTATCTTTTTTTTTTTTTTTTTTTTGGTCTACAACTTTACTATTAGTATACCTTTTACTCCCACCATGCCTTAATCAAGTCTCACTTGTATGGAAAATCAGCTTAGTGCTTTCTTTAAGAACAGGCCAGCCATTAATTGATCCAGTGTGTTGCCAGTCCTGGAAAACCTTTTTAGAAAGGAACAAATGATGCCTTACTTTGTGCTCAAAGAAGCTGAGTTTAAAATTTCATGCTTATGCACAAGGACATATTTAAAGAATCCTGTAAAGTCAGTTAACAATTCTCTTGGAGTTTAAGAAACCAAGAAAACCTTTCCTTCATACCTTTCTTCCCACCCTCTGGATCTTCTACATTAAACAAAATGTTTATTTAAAGATACTTTACATGACTTAAAGCGTTCTTCCAGAGTCCTAACATCTTTGGACATCAAATTTAAGCAGCACTCCTCTGATTAGGGTCAGAGAATAATCTTTTTTCTCCTAGAAAACTGTTGAACTCAAGGAAATATACAGAATATTTCTAAAGTGCTGTATCCTAACTTTTCTAAGGTAACTGGCCTCCCTCCTTGTTGTTAACTAACTCAGCACTGCGTTTTTTCTGGCCTGTGTTTCCTAAGTCTCTAACATTTCCCCTCCCCACCTACTTGTGTTAAGGTTGACAAATTTCCTTGACTATAACAGCTGGTGTTGATTACCAGAGGCAAATCCATGATATATTTCACTAATAGGAGACATGAGCTCTTGGAATGGAAACTTGTCCCCAAAGAGAACACCTCCATGAATGTAACCAAAGTTTGGTGTTCCATTTCAGTGTTTTTTGCTTTTTTTAATCTGGCTCCAAAAGAAAATATTTTTGATTAGGCTACTCCAGTCAGAAAACACATCTGCCACTTCTGTCCCTCTTGCCTTCCACTGTATGCCACAGCCTCAGGCCAGGAGCCCCTCTAAGGAAGGAGGTCTACTTCTCAGGCACACAGATACAAGCAGTACCCTTCACTCAAGGAGGCTCCTCTGCTAAACCTAGTGGCTTATGCTAACAATCCTGAAAAATAGAGCTTTTAATTTTTTTTTTCCTATCAGGGAAGCATTGCACATGTCAGAAACAAGTGTCATCAAGTTGAACTTTGGGGTATATTTCTAGTTCTGGTACTTAAGATCACCAGAAAAGCTTACTTTTTTCCCCACCCTGAAATCGCCTTATTCTTGCCAGAAAGAAAATTTTGAACATATTTAAATTTCCAATCAGGCAAGGGGTAATGGAACACTGGAAAAGTAGTTATAACTTCATGGCCACGATGCTCTTCTTGGCTTGCTGAGGATTGTTTTTATTCACCAATGTGCGTGCCTGTCAGTTTCTCAGGATGACAGCCTGGCAGAGCTCAGTTACTTTCAATATTATTTATGACGTGCGTAAAACCAGTGAGGGAGGGGGGACTGTTAATCTCCCACGAAGAGCGGAAACCTAACTTGCAGAAGAAGCAAGTTTGCAGTGGCAAGCTGCTAGCAGGTAACTCTACCCACCTCCTGATACACAGACACATGCATCAGGGGAGCACCTGATGCACACACCCGAGTGCAGAGCGAGTTATCAGATACACCGGCTCCCAACAGGTGCAGAACCGGTCACTAACCAAGACCAATATCCGAACCCTGTCTTCCAAAGCCCGCCTTCCAAAGTCTTCTCAGAAAAGTTAGCCCACCTCAACAAAGCCGCGTCCGAGCGGCGCTATGCCAAGCTCTTTGATATTTGCCTAATATAGTGCATTCTCTACTCTTTGTAATCCCCCGCCCCCAAAGTGACGCGGGGCAAAACTTAATAGGTCCGGGGAACCGAGACGCGTCTTCCGCGCAGCACGGACTTTCCAGAAAGGAGCTGGGCTGCAGGAGCTGGATCTTTCTCGGCGCCTCGGTCCTCTGTCTCCCCTCCCCCGCACCCGCCCAGCACCCGCCGGGGCAACTCACCTGCGTGGGGCATGGTGATGGTCTCGTTGGTGTTGGAGCCCGCGTTGAAGATAACCACAGCGGAGGCGTTCTGCAGGAACGCGTTCCGGATCTTATCCCTGTACGTGCAGTTGCCCTTGGGGATGAGGGCTATCCAGTTCTTGCCGTGGGTCGGCGCGGCGAACTTGGTGTTGGGGTCGCAAGCCAGGCGATCGTGGGCCGAGCTGGCCATGACCACCTCCCCGCGGGCGTCCTGCTTGGGCGAGTGCTCCCCGTAGCGCCCGCACTCTGTCTTCTCCGTGTGCAGCTCGGCGCCGCCGCCGCCGCCGCCCGCAGCCCCGGCCCCGGGGTCCGGCGCGGGCTCGGCGTAGGTGATGTTCACGAAGGCGGTATACCATTCCTCCTTCTCGGCCACGGTGAAGTCCAGGCAGAGCAGATGCACGAAACAAAAGGAAAGCAGCCATGTTGAGAGAGCCAGACTGCGGCACGCTTGGATGAGAGACATTGCCATCTTTATCCGCCGGGGCCCCCTCCCCGCCCCCCGCGCCCTCCTCCCGCCCCGTCCCTCCTCCCCAGCCCGGGCCAACCCCGGGCCGGCCGCTTCTCCAGCTGCTGCTGCTACTGCTCACTCCCGGGCCCGTGGGGCCGCGGCTGGGACGCGCAGCCGCCTCGGGGACCAGATTCCGGGCGAGCGGGTGGCGCCGGCCCCTTCGCCTCTTAGCCGAAGAGCGACGGTTGCATCTTGCTTCTCCGGCGCGCTGGGGGTGAGAAAGGAGGGGGCGCTCCGGCTTGCGGAGGAGTCCAGCTGCCAAGCGTCCTGCTCCTTCGGCCGGCTTCTTCTCTCATGGGGTGGCAGGGGGCCCAGGAGCGTGCTGGGTGGCAGCTCTGCCCGCTCCGGCCCCGGCGGGGGCGGGCGCGGCCGTTCGCAGGCGGGGTGTCCCAGCCGCCGCAGCCGAGCGCCGGGGTGAGCGGGTCCGGCCGCAGCCCTGGCGGCCGCCCCCACTGCGCACCGGTTCGCTGGGGCAGCTGCGTGCGCTCCTGGCCTGGCTGATGGCTGTGCCGGGACACACGCTTGCAGCGGGAGGGGTCGGCTCAGGGAGAATGGGAGAGAGTGGGAAGAGAGGAGTTACGCGGTCCGTGTGTGTGTGTATGAGTGTCTGTATATGTTTGTGTGTGTGTGTATGTGTGCGTGCAAGGAGGAGCTTAGTGTGATGTCAAAGCTTCTGGGCTTCACTTGCCACGCTCCCTCAGTCTCTCTCCATGGACGGCAGCGACCCCTGCCGGGTCTCACATTCACCATCAGTTTGCGACATAATCCAGGTGGGGGCAAAAGGGGAAGCGACCCCTTGACCTATAAGTACAGAAACAACTTCCTGTGCCTTAAATATAGCAAAATATGCCTCTTGTAAACAACCTTTTCATTTGCTGGAAGAACTACGGTGAGCTCCCTTAGTACCCGACCCGGGACCAAAGTCTAAATCTTGTTAGTCTCAAGGTCTTTTAACACTGCTCCTGAAATATCTAGAACATTGTCTATTAAACTTTAGTTTTAAAACAGACTAATGGGCCTTGTGAAGTTTCTGGTCTAGTAGGCCTGGGTTGGGCCCCAGAACACACATTTCTAAGGAGTTCCCAGATGATCTAATGCTGCTGGTCTAGGGACCACTCTGTTAGGGTGGGTATAGAAATAGGCAGGCTTCTTTTCTCCCATCTGGAAACAAACACGTGACATTTTCCCCCCTTATAAAGTGGACATTGTCTAACTCTGGAGGAAAAGAGACTGGATGAGCCATTTCTCTCTGTATTTATTTTGGTTGTCATGACTGGCATCAGAGCACTCACAACATCAATAGGCAAGGGAGATTTGTTTGGGTTACTGTTTAGCAAGTGCTCTCCAGTTGAGCATGTAGATTACAACTACTCAGCAGAGAATACGGTTTCCCTAGAGTAATCTTAAAACTGTGGCACAGCATAATTACTTACCAATTAAGTGCTTGGTTGTTATCCTTTCTCACCTATGGTTTCCTTGGTTTGAGAAACCGAAAATATAAAGTGTTGAAAAATATTTGTGTGGTGGTTCTCAATCACTCACAGGTATTTCCCCCCCTATCACTCACAGAACCAGGACCCAATTCATATCAAAAAGCAAAAAGTCCACCATTTCCCCAGGACCTGAATACATGTACAGCTCTCTGTTAATGAATGTCCACCAGCAAAACTTCTCTTTTTTGGGCAGCAGTACAAACAGCTGGTGGCTGTTAGGGGAGAGCAGAGAGCCCCGGCTATACCCAAATTAGAAGCAGGCACAAGAACTACTTAGAAGAATCTGTCTCTATGGTATTTGATGTGCTGGATTTGTATGTGTTCCTAGCTTATTCGTTTTAGAAAATAGGCTTCTAGGCAATTGGGACAGTGCTTTTTATAGTGCCTAATGCCCAAGGAGGCAAAGTGGAGATGCCTGGCTGCTGGTTTCTGAACCACCAGAGATCTGAGGGAGGAGTACATTGGCTCCAAACCCCCAGGTAGATTCTGCAAAAATGCAAACCATGGTGATTCCCCAGACCTATCTTTTAGCAGTTTTCCTCTAGCCACAAAACTTGGAGAATCTGTGTCATGAAGAATGTATGACTCTCCTTCTGTGCCCTTTCCCTTAGAGAAGTTAGGGACTGAAGATAGGCAGTCAGGAAGGCAGCAGCATAAGTACTCTCATAAGGAAAATGGGAGCCAGCTTCTTACTGTTGGAGAAGGAATTTGTAAATATTGAAAAAAAAAAAACTATAAGAAACTCTGAGGTATGGGATTGGATTAAAAATGAGCATGGAATTACTTAAAAAAATATATATGTGTCAGGTTGTGTTGTGGCTCAGTGGTAGAGCACTTGCCTGGCATGTGTGAGGCACTAGGTTTGATTCTCAGGACCACATATAAATAAATAAAATAGAGTCCATTGACAACTAAAAAATTTTTAAATATATATATATATATATATATATATATATATATATATATACATACACACACACACACACATGAACATATATACCAAATCTCTCTCCATTCAGACTCTCGAAGCAATGATCAGAAATCTTGCTTTCTAAATACTCACCTTCAAAATGAAAGGTCTATCCTCTCTAAAACTCTTATGAAAGAGAAAGAAGAAAGAAGAACTAACTGATCCAAGATGAAGACACAAGACTTGACGATTAAATGCAACAAATGTTCCTGGATCCTCTTCTGCACTGGAAATGAAAACTAAACACTTGGCAAAAAATGAATAAAGGCTGTAGATTGGGTAGTATATTTCACCTGGGGTGATTTCCTGATTTGAATATTTACCATGAAGTTTTGTGGAGAAGGTCCTTGTAGGGATATGCCCACTGAAGTATTTAGTTGTTACGAGGTGTTCTATCTGCAACTTGCTCTTACATGGTTCAGGAAAAAAAATGAGAAAGAAAATCTACTATAAAATCTTTGTTTTCTCTGGCCACACTTCAGAAAACTTGGGAACTCAGTTCATGATGTTAAAAAGTCAAAGTTCATTTTTTTCTGGAAGAGGGACATTAATATGCTTCCAACTTTGTGCTAATGATTCCTCTCCAGCACAACTATGCACATTTTCAGTGGCATATTTGACCTACTGAGCTGGTGTTTGGGGAAAACATAGATCCCTTATCACATCTGCTGTCAAATATATGACATTCTTATAGAGCAAACACCTCTGTATTTCTTCATATCACAATTTTTTTATTTTTTAGTTATAGGTGGACACAATACTTTATTTGGGGGTGGTGCTGAGGATTGAACCCAGTGCCTCACACATGCCAGGAGAGCGCTCTACCACTGAGCCACAGCCCCAGCTTCATATCACAATTTTTACTGAGTATTTTGATACATTAGTTAGTGGTCCAGGCACTAAGTTTACAATTGGGAATGGAAAAAGATAAAGTTCTTGCTCTGTGGAATTGACATTCTGGAGCCAGAGTAAACAGAAATGTTTGAGAGTTTCCATAATGACAAGCAATAACAGGTGCTATGAGGAAAAGGCAGTAGAGCACCTGTAAGATAGGTAGTTTATTTTGCATAAGGTGCTACTTGGTCAGTTGCTCTGATGAGATGATGTTTTAATAGAATCCTGAAAGAAGTGGAATTCATAACAATGTTTGGGAGACCAGCTGTACCAGGAAGAGGAAATCAGAAGAACAAGGTCCCTGAGGGCAAGATTGTTTATATACAAATAAAATTTCTTTTAGTTGTCAATGGAACTTTATTTTTATTTATTTATACATGGTGCTGAGAATCAAACCCAGAGCCTCACACATGCCAGGCAAGCACTCTACCACTGAGCTAAAACCCCAGCCACTGAGGCTCGAGAACAGTGAAAGAAACAGTAAAGGAGATGAGATCGGAAGAGATGGGAGGGCAGATCATATGTGGCAGTCAAAGTGAGAATGCTTTGGATTGTATTTTGGGTGATAGGAGAATCCCTTGAAGATGTTTGAGTTCCTACTTTTGCAAGTATATGATGTGTTTTAAACGGTTTATTCTGACAGTTGTTGGAGCAAGTATGGAAGCAAGGAAGACAGTTAATGAACTATAACAATTTTGGAAATGGAAACTAGTGACTATGACAGGGAGGTGGCAATGAACCTGTTGAGATGTGATTATCTCCTCAGTGCATTTTGAAGGTGGAACAAACGGTATTTTTCCCTGGTACCTTTGATGTGGAGTATGAAAGAAAAGCAACTGGCAAGATGGGGTTGTCATTTTCCAAGATGAGGAAGATTGCAAGCAGAACTGGTTGGGATAAGAATCAAGAGTTTTGGAGAGGTAGAGTTCAAGGTGCCCAGAGGTATCCAAAATGGCAATTAGATGCAATTTGCCTCAGCATTGTGTGTGAGAAGGGAGATTACTAGATCAAAGCACTTGAAGACTTTTCAAGTTATGTGTTTTACCATATAGGATTACCAAATCGCTTTTTCAAAAGTTGGCATCACCAGGCACCAGGGTAAAGTGAGCTCCCACAAACAGCTTTTAAAATATTCTCAGAGGACAGCTTAGCAACGAATCCTGGCCTGTGGGAGGATTTTCTCCACCAGTCAAGCGGCCTAGGCCAAATAGAATTAGTAATTTCCACAGGGTTCTTTGATGTAGGGAGATGATCTTGTTTTAGACAGGGTGGGAGCAGATTTGACTTAAACACATGCAACATGTTTGTGTCTGAGTCAGAAACAGAGCAGCCAGTGCAGAGAGTGGTAGTGCCCCGGTTCTCTGGGTGCTAGCTGATTGGGCTTTCCCTAAGAGGCTCTCAACCTTGACACTGCTTTTTTATCTCACCATTAATGTGCACAGCTTATTCAAAGGGAATCTGACCTTTGACTTCTAAGAAGTGTATAGTAGCATTCTACAACACCATTCCTCCTACGCTTACATACAAATTTTTATGCTTTAGTAGAATTCTTATGCACAGATGATTTAACATACAGGGTTTAATGCATACCGTAATTATCATTTACACTGATTGATTGACTGCATTTTTAAAAAGTTGATACC